TCCGGACTCAATTGTGTAATAAGCAGCCAAGGATTGAATCACTACTGCACTTAGCAACTCAACTCCATATCATATCAGTTGGTAGATTTGAGATGTCCGTTGTTGCTTTAAGACCAGTGTGCCATGAGTCACGCTGTAACATACATACCTCAGATCATTTTACATCAGGTTTTACGGGATTCCTAGGTCTCCTTGTTTGAATCAGAGGATGCACCTGGACTCGACTTCAAGTACCTTAGAAAATGGATGAACATGGGACATGGCCCTATTAAAAAGCAATCACAGGTACGACTACTCTACCTATGTTCCAAGGTGCGTACTTTCAGGGTCAAGGTACCTGCAATTTGGGCCCAACCGGGACGCGCCACAGTGGGGGAAGGAGTCCGATCCCGTTGATGTCCGTTGGTTCAACCGATCTTGGACGGACACCTTAGTTCACGATTCTCTTCACAGGTTTGGTTGGTCAAGATGAATACAATCCATGATGATCACTAGCCCTACAGGTCCAGTCTGACCTAGTCTGACGCCTGGTTCTTTGAGCCTATTTAAGAGAGTTTTTGGTATCACCAACTCCAGTAAAATGAGGTGATTGACCTGTAGGGCGGGAATCCGCTGGCGACGCCTGGGTTTCGCCCGCGATCGAACAGTTGGAGTTTTCATCCCCCCGGCGTCAGTCTTCACGGTTCACCGTAACAGACACCTGAATTGTGGCCTTTTAGTGCGGAAGACCAACGCCCGGATGTTTCTTTTCCATCAAGATCCCCTTTCGACCAGTCCTCTAACACACTCTCAAGAATCAGATTGTAGATTGTAGAGGAAAATGGTCTTTCACCACGGCACCAAATTGGTTCTGGCTCCATTTCAGGACCTGCCTCAGGGTGCGTCACTCCCTTCTCCCTTCGACATTCTTCCGCCGTTCGCCGAAGACGGCGGCGCGGTCGGTCCATGGAGGGCGCACACAGCGCGTCGCCGAGCTTCGGTGCAGCGATCGGCCGAGCTTCGATCGGAGGCGAGCATCAAACCAATCGGTGGGACGTCAGGGAGAGGAGTTGCTGGTGATGTTTGTTGATTGATTTAGTAGAATTGTAGATGTAAATTGATTTGGGATGATTGAGTTTTTGTTCCTCTCTCTTGAGATGCCTAGAATCTAAGTTCAGACGACAATTATATAGTATGTGTATGTATAGTGTTGATTCTAGACTCGTTTAGTGCGAAACGAAGTGGGAGGTTGTCAAACTATTTGTTTTTGCAAACAAGGAAAACTTGGCAATAAGCTCGCATACCTACCATGCATTCCTGCCACACGACCAGGGTCATACCAGATCAATGCAGTATGCTGTATGCTATGCTTGGAGTGAAAAGATATCTTTCAAGCCCAACACCCAAGCTATGTGTTTTTGAGAATCAACATGTGTACCATGCTGTTCAGATGCGCAATTCGTGCATCGCATGACTGGCACAATGGGCACTTTTCTCCAGCGCATCCTGTTTGGGCTGGAACCCCTTGTCAGGTGTTCAAAGTCTTGGACATACAGTGAGTGGATAAAAGACAATCCTGGGGTCACAGCACAGTACACCAGGTTTCCTTCATGCAGTTTCGCAGGGTCAGATGGCTTTGGAATGATTTTGCCTCAAGGAGTAAAAGGGGCGATTCAGTTCGTACTGAGTTTCCTTTCTTTTGGAGTGTTTTGGAAGTCGTAGTTGTTTTAGTTGTTCTCAAAGGAAGGACTCGTTGACTTAACTTCCTTTGTGGATCTCAGTTGTCACTACGTATGGAATTGTGGGACCTTAGGTCAGTCTTGAGCCTTTTTGGAACCATTGGTGGCACTCTGTTTTCAGTCATAACTGCATTACTGGGAATGGCAGTGGTATCTGTCAACCCAAACCCAGGAGCCTAGACCTTCCAAGGCTCGGAGAAAAAATAAACTGCGATCGTGCTAGATAGCTAGCCTGCGACGACCACCAGTTGTCACGGTATATTACCATATACACTGGATCAGGCGATTCTTTTTTTTTAAATAATCTTATAGTAAAATGTTAAAATACTAATCCGGGAAATGCCAAGAGAGGTGAGAATGTGGTCTTGGACTTGGTCGGCCGTACTTGGTCGGCACAACCTCGCACAAACGAGCCAACCCGGTGGTTGGAATGAGCCGAAACGACCATAGGATGTCGTCACTTCACTGTCAGGCAAAGCACTGACCACCATGTTCAGGAGTGCTTTACATTGACTCCGATGTTCAATCCACCACAACTGGTCTGTAAATCATCCATGAAGTGATTGGGTCCGTGTTGAGTGGTCAACTGTATGACGTGAAATGTGGACGTGGAATGTGGAATGTCAATGTGTTGTTCTCAATGGAAATTGGGCACTTGTGGCGACATCTGGAGGGTGGACCGGCTTGGCCGTGGGCCCGAAACGTGGGCTCGAGCCCAGGATGTTCATCCACCCATCTTCTCAAGAAGTCAACAGTAGGTTGCCATGTTATATTGCGAGACGGTGAGACCCACCAAAAATATAGATTCACCCCTTTTGGGGACTGTCGTTCATTCATTTCTACGCCTCCAAACGCTGAAGATCTCGATCTGCGAAACGGACCAAGGAGAAGCAAACGGTCTCCACGCTACGCCTCTTTGGGTCGTTCTGGCCTGTGGCCGCCCTTGTGGGTCCCAGTGTTGGCAGTGGGAGTGTCGCGAGGACGCCGCACTCCCAGACGAGCCGACGAGAGGCGAGGGGTTGGCTTCGGCCACAAGAACGGCAATGACCAGAACCACAACAATCCCGATTCCAGACCCGGAGTCTTTTGGTGTGCGACGACAAGTCAAAAATAGACCTCTTCGCACACGGAAACCCGTTGGAAACCCGTTGGAAGCTGGTATCGGTATGACTCGAAAGGAATTCAGCAGCCTTCCGTGGTCTGAAGTTCGTGTTTGAATCCCTCTCCAGGTCCAGAAAAAGATCGGAGTCTGAAAAGTTGGATCACTTGGTGCAGAAGCTCTGCCTTGTGGCGGAAGGACATGTGACGTATTGTTATTTGTTTGGCGCCCGGTTTTGCGCCAGTTGCGCCCGGTTTTCAATCTTAGGAGCTTTGGTCCGTGGTTTGGGTTGTTGGATTCGTTCCACTTAGGATGGATGGATGGACGCAAATCGCAAAGCAACCTCTTACTAACGTGAGTTTTAATTCGTGTGGAATACCCATTACTTCTATGTAGCCTCGACATGTAGGTCAAAGAGGACATCTTCTGTATGAAGCATTCCTAACTGATTGGATTGATGCGACAGCAATGCTGGAACAGATTGCGTTTTGACTTTGCCCAGGACAAATCCCAGGACATATTGAAGAGATTTTGCTGCCTGAAGTGAGAAACTCCGGGGTCCTTCATCGAGTGTTGGGGACATTGAGCGAGCAAAGGCGAGCAAAATTGGTGTATACGACGTTAGAGGCGATCTGGGAGGATGGCAGCGTCCAACTGAAGGGGTCCAATTTCACCGTCGGCATTTCAACTTGCGCAGCGGCAAAGAAGTGGCAGGAGGCGTTGAGTTTGGTTGAGGCCATGCCCAAAGCCACAATTCAACCACACAGAAGCATTTACAGTGCAGCCATCACTGCCTGCCACAAGGGCAGGCAATGGCAGCAAGCGTTGTGCATGTTTGAGACCATGGACAGGGCGAAAGTCCAGTCCGACGTCATCAGCTACAATGCAACCATCAGTGCCTGCGAGAAGGGCGGGCAATGGCAGCAAGCATTGAACTTGTTCGAGGTCATGCACAATACCAATGTTGAGCCTAGCATCGTCAGCTTCAATGCGGCTATCAGTGCTTGTGAGAAAGGCAGGCAATGGCAGCAAGCATTGCATTTGTTTGAGGCCATGCCCAATGCGAACATGACGCCCAACGTAATAAGTTACAGCGCGGCCATCAGTGCCTGCGAGAAGGGCAGACAATGGCTGCAAGCATTGATGCTGTTTGAGGACATGCCTGAGGCCAATGTTCAGCCCAACGTCATCAGCTACGGTGCAGCCATAAGTGCCTGCGAAAAAGGAGGCCAATGGCAACAAGCACTGAATTATTTTGAGGCCACACCCAATTCGAAAGTTCAGCAAGCATTGAACTTGTTTGAGGCCTTGCCAGAGGAGAAAGTTCAGCCAGAGGTGATCATCTACAGTGCGACCATCAGTGCCTGCGAGAAGGGCGGGCAATGGCAGAAAGCATTGATATTGTTTGAGGCCATGCCAAAGGCAAAAGTACAGCCAGATGTCATTAGCTACAATGCGGCCATCAGTGCTTGCGAGAAGTGCGGGCAATGGCAGCAATCATTGAATTTGTTTGAGGCCATGCCCAAGGCAACAGTACAGCCAGATGTCATTAGCTACAATGCGGCCATCAGTGCGTGTGAGAAGGGCAGGCAATGGCAGCAAGCATTGAAGTTGTTTGAAGCCATGCCCAAGGCAAATGTGCAGCCCACCGTCATCAGCTACAATGCGGTCATCAGTGCCTGCGAGGAGGGCGGGCAGTGGCAGGAAGCATTGAAGTTGTTTGAGGCCATGACCAAGACGACTTTTCAGCCCACTGTCATCAGCTACAGTGCCGTCATCAGTGCTTGCGAGAAGTGCGCGGAATGGCAGCAAGCATTGATGTTGTTGGAGTGCATGCCCAAGGCAGCAGTTCAACCAGACGTCATTAGCTACAATGCGGCCATCAGTGCGTGCGAGAAAGGCGAGTCCATGACAGCAAGGTCAGTGGCAGGAAGCCTTGCATGAACTATGGAAGTGCTGTTGGCTCGTTACAGTGTTTTACTCCATTATAGACTCATCTAGAGCCCATATTTAATGTCTTGTTAGAATGTTCATTCCTTTTTGCGTCTTTTCAACGTCGTTCAGACCAACCTCCCCGATCGTTCGGGAGATGCCGGTCATTGCCTTGGCCGGATCTGGCGATCCCGAAAAAGAGGCGCGACGCATGGCGCGACGCATGGCATGCCACGCATCGGACGCCCAAGGCCCGACGAGGCGCCCGGCGCGAAGAGAGCGGTTGGGGCACAGGTGAAAGATGGTGAAGAAACTCCGGTTCAGCAAGAAGTCATCACTGAAGTGATCCTTTTAGGCAATCTGGCGAGTCCTTTACAGTAATGCATCTTAAAGTCTCTTGCAGTCTTGATTTGAACATGCGAGAAAAGAGAATACAAAGTTCACACATGTGCAGGGTTGCTCTCGGTTCTACTCAAAGATACAATTTTTGAGATCCAAGAGCCAAGCTATGAGCCCCGGCAACCTGCATATTGGTGATGCAATGTTTTGTGGGAGACGCTTCTTTGCACTGAATCCCTTGGTCATTTGAAGTTTGAAGGGCCTGTTGCTCGTGAAAACCCAACACATGGCTTCGATTAAGCCTAGCAATCCATCCAAGAATGTTAGGAGACCCATTCATGCTTTTTTGAAGCGACTACCACTCTATCCGACAACCACTTGTTTAGAACAAGTGGATTTTCACAGGTTTGTGTTGAGAGTCGCAGGGTACTCGCGGATGACTGGGACCACCTCACCAGTCACTCTAGTGGCCCTGTTGTGATCCAAAGGGTTGATGAAGATCCAACGGCTGTGGCGTGGCAGAGAGAGAAAGTTCACGCATGAAAAACGCGGGTGATTTGCTGGACGACTCGCAGAGGGGGTTGTGAGGGGATTCACATCCCTTCTGTGATTGAACGTACCATGATGCTTAGATAGATGGATAAGGATCTTGTCCATAGATTTCTCGTCATCAGTTGTTGATAGTTTTTGGATGTTTTTGGTTTGTGTTTCATGTTTTCCTTTGGTGTTTTCACTTTATTCCTGCCGTTTTCTATTGATTTTCTAGCTTTCCTGTTTATCCGATCCCTTTCCTCCACTTTCCGTTTCTTCAAGAACCATGCCCTACCGGTGCCCTGCGCCCTGCCCGCACACGGCAGTTGAAGAAGGGAGGGCGCCTGGTACAGCTGCGCTTTGAGGAAGTGAAGACCGCCCCAGTCTCGCACCTCGACTTGAGTGTGCTGGGCTGGTCTCCGGGGCGGTAGCTGGGATGTCGTTGTGCTGGACTGTAGAGGCTGTCCTGGTGCCATTGAGGTGGTCCGTTGGAACTGCTTTGGCAGGGGCAGGGGGACATGATAAGGTGGTGTCGCTGATGCCTTGCTTCCCTTTGGTTCTAGGGGCGATGTGCAAAGTATGTTTTGGTGAGGTTCTACTACCATACTAGAGTAGATAGAATATGACCAAACCGAAAATTGGATCGTTTTACACCAGTGCCCTATTGTATTCTTTTGATTTGCCCAGGGTGACAATAACATGTTTCTTTATGACATCTCCTCTTGGGCCCCGGTCATTCCACGGATTGACGCTTTGATGTCCTGGTGGGCCTTTCACTGGAGGCTGAAATCACTTTCGGCAGTACGGTACCGGCAGTGCCTTCTGAGGTCAGCGGACTCAGTGGATCTTTAATTAGATTGAATTCCTTGCTAGTATGTAATTACTAGTTGAAGGATCTTCAACCCGATGTTTCGAGGTCACCTCATCGGCCGAACACCGAAAATCCGGAACGCCTGACGTCTCAAAAAGGACGTGACTGGTGAACTGCGAACTGAGTTTGTGGGGGAAAAATAAGACCGGGTCCTAGGTCCGTTGCTTTCTTTTGGCATCAACTCTTCCTAAATCAATTTTGGTGGCGGGGTGGGAGGTTTGCACAAATGACGGCCTACTCTCCAACATACGTAGCGTTCGCACCCTCACCACCGCGAGGTTTGCTTCTTGGTGCATCGAACCGCCAGGTTCGATCAGAAGCGTCCGCCTCCTTTGGGCGTTGTGAAGCATCCCAAGGGTGAACGCACCCGGCAGGCGCGTCGAATCCAATCCGCATCATGAAAGGACTGTAGCCCTGTTAGTGCGGTAGTGCGCACAGGGAAATCTAAGATCGGTGAATCAACCTCGCGCCAACGCTACTAGCTGTTACCAGCTGGCCCGGTTGCCCTTCAAGAAAATGGAATGATTCATGATACAACCCCACTTTTTTGTTTTTTTGGTTGGGAGGTCGGTCGGTTTTTCATGTGATTTTTCTGCAAAGGCTGAAGAAAGCGTTGCTGTCTAGCCATTCTCTCTAACTCCTGGTGCGATTCTGTACCCCAGGGCTACCACGTGGAGGTGACCGGGAATGAGGTGAGGTCCGGAACGGACCACCTGATGCGCACGGCGAGGAGCTCCCATGCAGGGATCACTTCGGTTTTTGTTAGGCCTCCCAACAACGTACCAAGTGGTCTCACCATGGATGGTGTTACTGTAAGTGGCCTCAACTTTGTGAGAACAAGTGGCCTCATCTCAAATGTTCAAGAAGTCATGACAGCAAGGAGATTTGCACGGTTATGGTTCTCATTGTTTCAAATGTTCAAAACATGAGGTGCTTCTTTCACCCCAGACCTGCAGGTCCGCCTTCAGGTGGTTTGGGTCTCCTGAGATGGACTATAGTGGGATGGATGGACACAAAATGCTTGGGTAGTACAGTATCATGAGTATCAACCTATAGATATACCTGGATTGTTTTAATTTTTTTAAGACTGTGTTTCAATGTCCTAACACCACATTGGGCTCAACGGTTCTTTTTGTGCGATTGAGCACACTACGTACTACCACGTTTTCTTGAAACAAGGGCCGCGAGACCAACCAGTCATCACTCACGTCAGTCATTCTGTGGACCCAGGACTCGTGTGACCCAGGTGGATGGTTTTCATGGTGACAAGACAGCTGCAAGGCAGCTGCAAATAGCTATTGCATAGCTATGAAACAAACAAACACATTGCAGCTGCCTTGACACATTGCAATTTGAAATAGGCTCGCAAAACACATTGCATAGCTCAGTACGCTATGTCTGAAGCAGCTCCAGCCACCTGGTGGCTGACTTCTGTGCCGCCCCAGCCACCGGTACTTGGGACGACCTGCAGTTTCTGTTTCGTTGTTTCCCATGTGTTCCACCACGGAGACTTGATCTTCCTTGTATTTGCCTCATTCAGTCAACGAATGAAAAGCCAAAACCTTCGCCAACGGCGGAATCGCTACTGGGCAGATGTGCTTGGAACTATGCCACCAAGATGGACAAATGGGTTGCACTGGTGAGCTACCCCAGCAGGTCACTAATGTCAGTAGGAACCAGGTGATATGTTCGAACATGTAGAACAGCGGTTGATGCTTCTCGTGTCTGAACTTACTGGATAGCGGGGACCTCCGTACTATCTATCACTGCTTCACTTGTACAATTCCCAGATCCACTGGCTCTTCAACGCCCTCGGAAGTCGCCCGGGTCTGCCACCGTTCTGTTCCTGCAGATCATGTTGTCACTGATCCACCCCAGTAGCATCGTCATCAAGGCGGGACGACGATGGCGAAAGCAGAAGTTCAACCGGGACGACCTGGAATCGAATCATCTATGATTGTAGTATGATTAGTGGAAGTCGTGAAAAGTTTTGACCTATTTTAGGTGTGCTATTTGTTTAGTGATGCTGCAGCAGTATTTGTAAAAAAACAAGTTGATCGCATAATCCAATGATGCCAATCAGAGCAATCGGGCAACGGAGGGGTTGTAAACAAGATGATTCATTGTTTACATTTCCGGATACTATTTACGTAAGCTGCCTTTGGGGTTGATTTCCTTCCACATATGTTTATCTATAATGGTTCCACTCTGTATAGACGACATGTGTAGACTCCTCTTTGCAAAGGGAAAACGCCTGCCCAAGTAAGGGCAAGTAGCCCCACGCATCAACTGCTCAGGACCCGTTCTCGGGTCCTTTGCAAGTCACCGCTTGGTCTGGCAAGTCTCCCTTCTCGGGCGGGCCGTCCGAAAAGTCCGGATTCAACAGGTCACGTGATGTTCGTGGTGCGCGATGCGCGGAGCTCTGCGTCCTTCCCACGGAGCCGGTGAAAACGGCAGCGGAGCCCATTTTTGGGGGTCCCACCACAAAACCCATTCCCACCCAGTGTAGGCCATTCCTCACCTATTCTCACCTACCCCCCAAACCGGGTCTCCTACCTCGGCCCCCGTTCTTCTCCACTTCCTCCACGGGTCTCCTACCTCGGCTTCGAGCCGGGTCTCCGGGCCAACGTCCGACTGGCGGGTTCTCCGTCTGGAGGCCACTTTGTCCTGCTTCTTGAAGTCTCAAGCGAAATGGGAGGCAGGTGGGTCCGTACACCTCGGTCACCGAAACCACCGTGCAGGGCGGCGGTCGCGTAGAAGGACCGGTTGGAAGGAGTCGCTCGTTCATGTGAGTCAGTAAGACTTACTACTGAGTATAGTGGTGTTTTGTTATTTTTTCCAATTTCTTGGTGAGGGCAGAGGTTCATACCATGCTGTTTTGGCTTGTGTTGGAGCATTGTTGACGGTCTACATCACAAATCTCCAGGTGTTTTTTTGTCGTGGCACACGGATTCTGTTTCTCAGCTACAGAAGCGCGTGTTTGCTGAATGTAGGTCCAATGTCGGCGGTTTTCCTGTTTGCGTTTTGACTAGATTGAGATATTTGAGGACGATGTGACCTGGACCTTGAGTCAGTGACGAGAACGGAGTGCTTTCAGTGGCTGGTTCGGTCACAAAACAGTCGACTGAGCTCTCCTCTGAGAGAGCCCAAAGAGGTCACGAACTAGATCAGGTCCTGGCTCATGTGCAGTCTCAGTCTGTTTGTTTTGGTTCCTGAGTCCGGACTCAGTGAAATGAGCAGGGGACTGCTATGATCCCGTTATTTTAAATAGATGGGGATGGGAAGAGACATGAGGAGACGATTGTGGGTGCAGTGTTTGTGGCATGGTCTTTTGACATAAGCTGATCATTATCATGAGCTCTTCTTCCACCAAACCGTAAGGCCTGTGCTTTCCTTTGATCATTTCCACACATGTCCGCTTCTTTTCGCGTGGGATCATTTTGCACCAGGGCATCAGCCACGGAGTGTGGCCCATGTACTTCGATGAGCCGCTTGGCGCAGTGGGCAGCCGTGTCACCTGTACGTCCCGCTGTCTTTTATACTAGCTTTAACCGCGCGCTTATTTAACGACATGGAAGAAGAATGAAGAAGAGTTATACTGTATATAGTCTAGAAGTTCTGAAGCTATTGTTTCAGAACGAGAAGACTTGTTTATTCTTTTGCCCCCTGACGCTGCCGTCCAAAGCCTCTCCAAAGGCCGTCGATGGAGCATTCCAGGCCTGGAAAAGGGGGCATGGAAGTTGCGTTAGAGGACATCCGACCCGGTCCTATCCACCCAATATCCTTTGAACCGTTTTTCGGGGTTGGTGTCTCCACTCAAACCTAAGAGGTGGGAAAAGGTTAGCCTTTATGAAACTGAGGAGGTCAAAAAAAGGAGAAGGTTTGCTCAGTGTGAGGCATACCCAAATGCACCATGCATGGATGCATGGCCAGGTCCATGCGGATCTCTTTAACCTTTGACTTTCAAAGAGTGGTGACTGACCTCAAGCGACCAAGACATATGGTTGTGATCTGTGACCCAGCCCAGCGGCTGTGACCCAGCCCAGCGGCTGCACATGAGGAAAAGACTTGCTGCGCATAAAGAAACCTGGATTTCCGGCCAAGATTTGGCTCTCAGTTGCCAGTAGTTAGGACATCAAAATGAAATGACCCATTTTAGATCACAGAGCCAAACCCCTTACCGTAGCAACAGTTTCTTTGCAAGCCTCCGCCGGAATTACACACTCCGGGGTGGTTCCACTAGCAGAGCTTCAGCACAGCATCTCTCCTGGTGTGTCACCAGGGCGACGCCACTCCGGGTCTTGCTTCATCGACACAGCCATGTAACAGATTCTTTCACATGCAGGGCTGGTGGGTCCCATTTGGGCTGTTCTCGACACCGGTGAGCACGTCAACGACTAGGGTCTCCCATTTACGCTAGCCACATCTAGCCACTACTCAGAACCTTCTTGCTACACAAAGGCATCTCAGAGCCATAATTATAGTTCAAGTATGTTCAAGTCATCTCAGAGTCGAAATAAATCGAAATAATATAGTTCAAGTCTTTGGTTTGACATAGCGACCCTCTGAAACCATTTGATATCCGGAAGTCATCTCGACCAGCTCCATGGCGTTGGCTTGCAACGCTCGACAGCTCTCGTTCCGAACGGACGCCGCCTCAACGACAGGACCGCCTCAACGCTTGTGCTGTTGTTTGTGTCGTTTGTTTGTTATGGCAAAGCAACCAATAAAATGATCCTTGTAGGAGGTCAAAGCAACCTAGGGTTTTTCAGGACTCTCAAATTGATTCATGATTGTTTTTTAGAGCCAAAGCACGTACTTCCTCAGCAAATTCCTGGGCCAGAAAGGAACAGAATTGGCTGCATCCGTGCATCCCACTAAACCAAAGCTGTAACCAGCGACAGTTCGGGGAAAGCCCACCAAAGCATTTGAGTCGCCTTTGCAGTTGAATCTGGACACTACCACGGGTCCATCCCGCTGATCCTCGCTCAACCTGTACAGATCCGCGGATACAGATCCGTGAACCCCCAACAGGCCCAACAGGAGCAATCACACCAACTGCTACATGAATTTGGATCACCTGAATTACCAAACACTTGGATTGCTGTAATCACATGGACAGGATCGAAGAATCACACACGCCCCCCCCCATACGACGCATGCCATGTCAAGGGTCAACCGCTTGGCCATGGACCTTCAGGATCCTGGTTCAGTTGCTTCGATCTCCATGCAGAGGCGCCCAAGCAGGCACCTGCTTGACGGATGGAGACAGATCGAAGTGAGTTGGGTGCCGAAGCTTTAAGCTTTTTCGCGGCTCCTAGGGGTCCTAGGGGGGGATGTGGATCCATGTGGAACCAGGTTGGTTCAAGCAACTAGAGAGTCAAGTTGTGTGAATGCGGCCCACGTGCCTCCATGGAGTTTGTTGACCGTGTGAATGCCTGGTGGCGTTCTCATCCTGGTCAAGGAAGAACGCAAGCTGTTTGAGTAAAACAAACAAGGAGCAGGAGTGTTTCAGTTGAGCGACTCGAAACAAGACGTGCCCAGGAGTGCACCAGATGGCAAAAACGATGCAATAATTTATGTGTCCTGTTTTCAACAGGCAGACGGAGGGGCCACTACGCCACACCTGAGCTAGGGTGTGAACGACAACAACAACAACAACCACAACCACAACAACAACCACAACAACCACAACCACTGACCACAATTTGCAATATATAATATATAATATATTGGCCAATTTGCCCAGTTGCCCACGCAAACTGTGATAAAAGTGATACACCCAGAGGCTCATGGACTCTCATATGGAGGGACGGACCTTCACATTAGGGAGGGGTTTCGGGTGTCAAATCACTGTGGACCAAGGGCTGTTGGGAGCGTTTGGGCAGTATGTTTGTAACATTTTCTAAATAGGTTCATATATGTTTGTTTGCTTTGCTTTGGGGATGAAGCCGTGACTGCTGCTGCTACTTGCAGCGACAACATGATCCGGTGTTTCTAGAATTGTCGAGAGTGAAGATTGAGTTCCAGTTCCCACACACTCCATGTATGCCATATGCCTTCATTGACCCCCAAAACCACCCCAACTGATCGGCATATATGGCAGCCTTGCTCGTGGCATCATGAAAATAACAAAAGAAGAGACACCTGCATCACTCGAGATGGGGCATGCTACTCTTCGAACGTTTGTATAATTATCATCAATATATTATAATTGCCAGGAGTTCTAAATCCAAAGGGTTGCTACTAGACCCTCAGCGAGGATCATGGGCACCCGAAACCTCCATGCAAAAACACCCGAATGGACAGATTTGCTGGTATAAGTGTTTAATTATCAGCATCTTGGGGAATTTACCAGCACGAAGATCATGTTTTATGTTTAAATCCCGTTGTACAACATGAATCATGTTGTTGAAGATGTCTTGTTGAATCATGTTTTATCTCGTTCTACTGCATCATGTTGAATCATGTTTGGAGCTTTCTCGACCAAGATCGACCGCAGATCAACCTCTCGGTTTGCAGGTGTCACGAAGGCCCGTGGCCAACGAGGCAGACCAGTGCCTGGAACAGCAGAAGGTGGAGACCTGGAAGGATCGAAAGAGCATCCAAGGTATGGATTCATGGATATTCCATGATATTCCTGTTTGGGTTCCAACTACCGAAGATGGTTTGGGGAGATGGGCCAGGACCCCTAAATCTCTATATGAGATGGGGGGGAAACGTTTGTAGGTCTTAGGTTAACTGAGGATGGTTCCTATCACGTTCATCATTTTCCTGGACCGACATGGGATGTGAACACTTTCACTCGATGTGCTCTCAGGAATTCAGAGCATATTCAAGTTCATAGCTTTTCCTGCAGATCATTTGATTCAGTACTTGGGGAACTCCATATATGATCCCAGCACCACCCTAGGCGGTCTCCAACCCTTGGGCAGCTGCGATGTACCTTTGAACCAAAAGAAACTCGTGTTGTCTCCCAACACCTCCGCCCATCACCCCACCATACTTCCTCGACTTGTGACCGAGGTGGGTCTCCGACTTCGTGGAAGCCGTGCCACAGTTGCGGGTCTTCCCCACGGAGGAGACGATCGGATCGGAGTGGTTGGGGGCGGAGACGGTCGTTGGTCGTGCCCGACGTTCCTGATGGGAAGCCCACCTAGTACTTCTGAAGTGCAAACATCACATATGAATATTTTACCTGGGCTTACAGGATGTGTCTAGCATTTCTTGTTAAAGCGGGTCATGTTGTGGAAATGAGAGAATCCTAAGCCACCGTACAAAAAGAAGCAACCACTGGATGGTGTTCATGCTCATCTCCTTGGTGATCGTCGCGTTTGCACAACTCAACAGCACACGTTGATCCCTTTCATCCTGGCCGTGCGAAGTCAGGACGAGCTGCAAAGCTTCTGGCAGAGGCCAAAGCCGATCGGGATGGGAATTGGTACTGTACAAGGTGTTTGCACTATCAGTGGATTGAGAGGACCAATGGCACAGACCCCAAGGTCGGTGGTTTATACGGACCCCATTTGTCGTCCGGACATCATGGGGGAAACATGCCATTTCTCAGCCTCTTAAACCGCGGAAAACCCTTCGAGGTGGTCTTTGGAGGTGTTTAGTTCCATAGCTTTGGAGCTTTGACCCACGGAAATTGGCCAAACCAACGAGCATCGCCAGGCTTGCCTAATTTTCGGCGTGGGTGACCAGATAGCTTGAGGCAAGCACATGTTCTTCCAACATCATAGAAACACAGAATTTCCAGGGATCTATCTTGAGTGCCTATGTAAGTCTTTTGGGCGTAAGAAATGCACAGTTCGAGGGTGATACCACCCGGGGAAAATAGACAATGTATAACAATGTTGTTCGCGAAATTTGTATCTTTAACTTGTTTTGCACATCATTTCTGTGGTTGATGAAAGGACATTAGGAGAACATTAACTAATGTTGTTCTGTTGTGTGGGATTTCAGAATGTTTGTGCTTGGAAGGTCTTGACTCTCAGGCTTGTCACCCAGGTCTTTTGTAGATCGCTTAAGAGAAGATAACCCAAATTGCATTGGTGACTCCAAACCGGAGGCAGGCTCATTCTCAGCATGGACCAGTTCTTTGTCCCTGTGATCCAAAACAAGCAATGCCTGTTCACCTCGTTGCTGAATAGAGCTTGGTCACTGCTGTGCATCGAGGCTATCACATGCCCATCCAACCCACCCAACCCAAAGTGGGTTCCCGCTTGTTTGTCCAGGTGTGCCTTGCTGGAGAAGGCGGAGTTGGGACCGTAGAACCCGCGCGGGGCGGAAGCTGGGGGTAGGTGGCACTGAAGCGACGGAGGTGGCACTCTCGGATGGACGTTTGCAGACCACGCCGGATAGAAAACGGACTGTTTTTGACACATTGACCCTGAAAGGGAGTGTTTGGGTTTGGGTACTAACTAGAACCAGACCCCAAGTGTATTGCGAATGGAGTTACCAGTTACCGGTGTTTGGTTGTTTGGTTCTTTTAGACTTGCCTCGACTCAGTGGACGATCGGGACGTTGCAACATGTTCATTTAGCTTAGCGTACTTTATCATAGTTTCAACACGAAGGAGAGATGCTACATGCTCTTACGATTCGCTGGGGAGTACTTGTATATTTTACACATCCAGGGCTTGTCAAAAGAATAACACAAGCAATGATAAACAGGTTTGGAGGGTGGGGTCATTGGCTTCCTGTCTTGAGATTAAT